TATCCTTTTTTATAAAGTGAGAGGACAGTGGCTGCTTTCTCTGCCCCCCAGATTTTTTTTTTTAAGAGAGATTTTTCTCTAGGGTGCATGCACTTGATGGAGAGACAGAGACAGAAAGCAAGAAATCACTTCCCAGGGGGATGCTCGTTCCACAATCTTTCTTCTCCATTCTCCTCTCAGGATCTTGGGCACACATGCATATGCGCCTTATGGGAGTTTTAAGTCACTGTGGTCGACTACATGGGATTCTAGCAACATTACCATTACGCTATCTGCTTGTCCCATTGTTGTTTTTAAAACTTAATAGTATGGAAACTTTTAAACAAACACAAAAGTAGAATAGTTAGTGTACTTCCATTTACTCAACCTTACCTCAGCAATTATAAACTCAGGGCCAACAGGTGGCGTGGGGGTTAAGGCACTGAACACTCCTATATGGCCAACTACAGTTTGAGTCCTAAACCTGATGGCTTCCTTTCTCCCTCTCTCTGATCAAATTAAAATAAATGAATGAATAAGTAAAATTAAATGATTCTTTTAAAAAAAAAAAAACCTCATAGCTACCGATCTCATTTCATTTATATGCTTGCCTTCTCCTATATATATAAATTTTAAAAAGTTTTCCAGAGGGCACAGTGACTCTCCAGAGAGGCAGAGTAAGAGATGGAAAGCGAGAAAACATGCCCCACAGGGAAATGGTCATGCCACAATCCTTTCTTTTCTGTCTCCTTTCGTGATTTTGGGCACACACACTTAGTGTCATTTCAAGTTGCTGGATCTGGGACTTGAACCATACAGTTAACCCCAGCTGCCTTAACCACCAGACCATGGGCTAGCCCACTCCCGTTATTTATTTATTTTTTTGTAGAGGAATTTTCCTATAGGGTGCGCACGCTTGCCAGAAAGACAGAGAGATAGAAAGCAAGTAATCACCCCCCAGGGGGGATGGCCACACCACAATCCCTTCTCCATTCTCCTCGGGATCTTGGGCATACATGCATACACGCCCGGTGTGAACTTTAAGCCACTGGGTCCGGGACGTGAACTGCAGTTGACTACATGGGAATCCAGCGACATAGCCATTATGCTAACTGCTGGTCCCGCTCCTGTGTTATTTTTAAGCTAATCTCTATGTCATAATTTTTTTGAGAGGTTTTTGCTATGGATGCATGTGCTCACCAGAAAGAGACAGAGATAGAAAGCAAGAAATCACCCCCCAGGGGAGATGGGCATGCCGCAATCCCTTCTACTCCATTCTCCTCTTGGGATCTTTTTTTAATTTTTTTTTTTTTTGAGAGATTTTCACCGTAGGGCGCGTGCCCTCGCCAGACAGACAGAGAGAGACATAGAGACAGAAAGCGAGAAATCACCCCCCAGGGGGGATGGTCACGCCGCAATCCCTTCTCCTCCATTCTTCTCTCGGGATCTTGGGCACGCACGCACACGCGCCCGGCGTGAGTTTTAAGCCACCGGGTCCGGGACGTGAACCGCGGTCGACTACGTGGGAGTCCAGCGACATAGCCATTACGCTAACTGCTGGTTCCCTCCTCTTGGGATCTTGAGCACACACGCACCCACGCCTGGCATGAATGTAAGCCACCAGGTCCAGGACTCGAACCTTGGTCGACTACATGGGAGTCCAGTGACGTAGCCATTATGCTATCTGCTGGTCTCCATATCATAAAATCTTTTTCATAATCTGAAAGTGTTCTTAAAAGTGCTCAAGCAAAAGTCCTGGGTAAATCTAAGAATTTTCAAGAATTAAAGTTAAAATTCAATCATAGAAATACATTGACTTATGCTACTTATACTTTCTCCAGACAGGAGATAAGTTAGTATCTGGCTGGGGAACACATAGAGTTAATTGAGCAAGACTTCCTGAGGTTAGAGTTCAATTTTTAAAAAAGAAGTAATGAGCCAGAAGAGGGAGCCCATTCCATTGCAAATCACAGAAATCTGATTTAGCTGAAAAAAGATGATGTACTGAGGCAGTGGGGGGTGGAGGGAGTTGAGAAAAGGGATATGGGTTGACCTCATAAAAATTTCAGGTTACCTAGTTTAAAGTTTTAATATAGAGTAGTGTTGGGGAAGGGCAAGTGTGTGTGCATGTGAGTGAACATGGATTAGAAAGCTGTGGTGAGAGTCAAACTGGGATAACAGCACACTCTGTCCTCTACTTTAATGAGGCAGGATTGCAGATGTTGTGGGCTGATGCCAAAAAGGCTAGAAGAATAAAGGCAAATATGTGGAAGCACAATATAAAGTTTCATCAACTTTCATACCGGGAGATGGAGCATTTGAGACAGGTATGGGCCTGGGGAAAAATGTTCAGAAGTGCATGGTAAGGTAATGACGGTTAACCAAGGTCTTAAGTTTTTTCCTTTCTTTTAGAGTTGTTCACTGCTGATCAAGCTTTTGCTCTTTGCTATGAGATCCAAGTATTGAACTAAATGAGAGCCTCAGAGTCTTTGACAGAAGTGGGTTCACTCAAGTTACTGTCCTTAGCTGAATTTCATAGTTTCTGACACACTTTTTGAATAAAAGTTGTAAACACTAAAATCTAGTTACTTTCTGAAGGTATAAAAATCTGCAAAGATCTAAAGGGCAGCAGGAAACTAGTATTTTTTTTTTTTTTTGCAGAGGTTTTTGCTATAGGGCGTGTGTGCTCGCCAGACAGACAGAGAGAGACAGAGAAACAGAAAGCAACAAATCACCCCCCAGGGGGATGGCCACGCCGCAATCCCTTCTCCATTCTCCTCCCAGGATCTTGGGCACGCACACACATGCGCCCAGCGTGAGTTCAAGCCACCGGGTCTGGGACTCGAACCACGGTCGGCCACATGGGAGTCCAGCGACATAGCCATTATGCCAACTGCTGATCCTGGAAACTAGTATTTGATGGTGACTTAGAGGACAGTTTTGAAGCTGAGAATAAAAACCTAGGACCTATTCTACAGGTCAGGAAGAATTCATTAAGGGATTAGGTATAATGTCAAGCCCTGCCTGTAATAGACGTTACTTGGGATACACAAATGTAAGAAATCAGAGGAACTTACCATCTAGAACCAGATAGAAATAAACATGGTCCTTTTTCTAGGGTATAGTAGAAGATAACTGCAGAGTAGGGTGAAGGGATTGTCCATTGTATCAAGAACTTACTTGGATTAAAACATCTGTGTTTATTTCTACTTAGTTCCGCCGAGATGTTACCAAGTGTCTTTTCCTAGGTATCATTTCCATTCCACCCTTTGCCAACTACCTGGTTTTCTTGCTCATGTGAGTACAAATTTCTATCTATCTCCCTAATATCTTGAAGCTATATAGTTTTTTTTTTAATTGAAAATCATTTTAAAAGGAACGTTTTTTTAAAAAGGATTATTTTACTATCTTAATTTATTTCATTTATTTATTTTAATTTGACCAGAGAGGGACAGAGAGAGAGAGAGGAAAAGTGAGAAAGCAAGCCGCCAGGTTCAGGACTTGAACCGCAATTGATCACATTGGAGTCCAGTGTCCTTAACCACCATGCTACCTGCCAGCCCCAAAAGAAATTTTAATTTTGGAAAGTAGGCAGAGGTTATCAAACTTCCTGCTCCAGGTGTCTCATCCCAAATGCCTCTCAGTAACACTTCAGATACTTGGACACGTCATAGCTGCAGATATAGGTGGCTGGGACTCTCCATGTATCTTTGCTGCTCTGGATGACATGAAATAAGATAATGACCTTTTCTATCATCCTTGGAGGCAGGAACCCACTCTCTGAGAGGCATGGCAACTGGGGACAAATTTCTTTCTTCAGAAAAAAGAAAAATCCTCTTTCTATATATGTATTTTTTATTTTTATTATTATTTTCTTTGTCATAGGGCATGTGCACTTGCCAGAGAGAGACGGAGAGAGGGAAAGTGATAAATCCCCCAGGGGGCTTGGCCACGCTGTAATCCCTTCTCTATTCTCCTCCTGGGATTTTGGGCATGTATGCATGTGTGGCTGGTATGAGTTTCAAGCTGCTAGGTCTTAGACTCGAACCGTGGTCTTATCTGTGGGAGTCCAGTGGTCCAGTGTCTTTTTTTTGGAGAGGTTTTTGCTATAGTGCGCACGTGCTCGCCAGAAAGACAGAGAGACAGAAAGTGAGAAATCACCCCCGAGGGGGGATGGTCACGCCGCAATCCCTTCTCCTCCATTCTCTCAGGATCTTGGGCATGCACGCACACACACCTGGCATGAGTTTAAGCCACCGGGTCCAGGACTCGAACTGCAGTCAACTACATGGTCCAGCGACATAGCCATTACGCCAACTGCTGGTCCCAGGGAGTCCAGTGTCTAACCATCACACCACCTGCTGGTCTCTCTAATAACTTTATTCGTATCCAAAAGTTGCACGATTAGACTGTGACCTTGCATGGCATTCCATTTATCTCTTGCTATATGTTGCTGTATCAACTTCAAAGCTTAATAGCTTAAAATAATCACCGTTTTCATGATTTTTGTGGGTCAAGAACTTAGGCAGGGCTGAGGTGGGTGATGGATTTTTCTCTTCCATGTGGTGTTGACAGGTCCTCAGTGACATTTTAGTTGCTATATGGTGTTTTCTGGAGGGTCCAAAGCTAGTCTTATTTCTGGTATCTTGGCTTGATGGTTAGAAAACTGGACCTATCCCTTTTTTAAAAAAAAAAAAATGTTTTTCTCATAGGGCATATGCACTTATCAGAGAAAGATAGAGAGGGAAGGTGAGAAAGTACCCCCCTACAGGGGGGGATAGCCATGCCATAATCTCTTCTCTTTCATTCTCCTTATTTATAAATGAGTCATGGCTTTTCTTCTTTTTTTTTTTTTTTTTAATGATTTTTAATGCTACTTATTTTTTTTAAATATTCGTTATAAATTTTGTGACTCTTTTAACAACAGAGACAGTATGGTTTTTAAATTTTTTTTTTTTTGAGAGGTTTTTGCTATAGGTAGCGTGTGCTCGCCAGACAGAGAGAGACAGAGAGACAGAAAACGAGAAATCACCCTCCAGGGGGGATGGCCACGCCACAATCCCTTCTACTCCGTTCTCCTGTCAGGATCTCGAGCACACACGCACACACACCCGGCATGAGTTTAAGTCACCAGGTCCAGGACTCGAACCACAGTCGACTACGTGGGAGTCCAGCGACATAGCCATTATGCTAATTGCTGGTCCTTTTAAATATTTTTGAGAAAATATTTACATGTCAACTACTCAAACTGTTGAAAAGCAAACACTCAGCACAAAATTCACACATAAACCTTCTCAAATCAGTCCTACCTAACAAATATTCTGTGATATACCATCTGTTAGCAAAGATCAGTCTCTTTTTTTTCCTTCAAAATCTTCAAGATAATCCTCTAGTTGTGGCTGCTCTTTTGCAATCTCTACTGATTACAACCCATCATGATTTTCAAGCTTCAGATCTGGGACTTGAACTGCAGTTGGCTATGTAGGAGTCCAGCACCTTAACCACCATGCTACCTGCTGGCCTCTTGGTGTGGGAGCCTCAAGGTAGGGAGATCCCTTTTTTATTTTTTTTTCTTTTGAAGAGAGTTTTTTTTTTTTTTTTTTTGGCTTTGGGGGTGGTGGGGCTGGGGGGGGGGGACGCAGCGAGAAATCACCCCCAGGGAGGATGGCCACACTTCATCTCTTCTCCTTCATTCTCCTCTCGGGATCTTGGGCATGCATCCACATGTGCCCATCATGAGTTTTAAGCCACCAGGTCTAGGACTTGAACCCCAGTTGACTACATGGGAGTCCAGCAATGTAACCACTATGCCATCTGCTGGTCCTGGTAGGGGGACTCCTTATATGACAGCTTAGGAATCAAGAGTGAGTGTTACAGCAAATAAAATTCTGCATGACCTTCTGTGACCTTGCCTTGGAGACTCTCTGCTGTTCTATTTTTTTTTTAAAGAATTATTTTATTTAACTATTTATTTATTTATTTATTTAAATTTGACCAGAAAGGGAAGGAGTGAGAACGAGAGAAAGTGAAAGAGAAAAATCAAGAAAGCAAGCTGCCAGGTCCGGGACTTGAACTGTGGTTGGCCTTGTGGGAGTACAGTGCCCTTAACCATTACGCCACTTGCTGGCCCCTACTTCTGTTCTATTTTATTGGTTGAATTAATCACCAAGATTGGAAAAAGGGGGGGACAGAGACTTCCCTTTGCCATAGAATGTCACAGAATTTCTGGCCATGCTTTAAAACCACTGCACATGTGGATAGCGGAATTGAAAACAGATCTGTTGCCTTTCCCATACTGTTTACACATGAGGACTGTGCCACAGTTAGGTTGTCAGCATCATGTGGAGTATTGAGCTCTGTAACTCTGTCCAAAGCAAGTTCTTCAAGTGCCTTTCGTTCAAAAGGTATCATTTTATCTGATTGCTCTATGCCAGGCTATTCTACTCTTTCCTTTCCTTTCAGATCACATTTCAGTAATGTTGCTTGAGATTATGCTTCAGTGTATCTTTTCTTCTTTTCTTTCAGTTTTTAAAACTTTTATTTTTCTTCGGGGGGCGGGGGGGGAAGAATAGGCACCCCCAATGAGGTCCTCACACTGTGATTCACCTCCAATCCTGGCCAGCCTGGGTCATGGGCACATTCATGTGCCTAGCGTGCTCAGTGAGGTCCCAGGATGCAAACCATGATCTTTCCCATGTGGGTCCAGCACTTGGCCCTTCAGTGCATATTTAAACATAGGTCTGGGTCAAGAAAAAAGAAAAACTGAAGAAAGAAAGTAGAACCTCTATCCCTTCCTAGTATCCACGTCTGCCAAATGCTCTCTTAGCTCACTTTGAAAGATGCTATTAGAGTTTCTTTTTCCTTTTAGGTACTTGTTTCCTAGACAACTACTGATTCAACATTTCTGGACCCCAAAACAACAAATTGATTTCTTAGATATCTATCATGCTCTCCGGAAGCAGTCCCACCCAGAAATCATTAGTTATTTAGAAAAGGTCATCCCTCTCATTTCTGATGAAGGACTCCGGTGGCATCTGAAAGAACTGTGCACCAAGGTATTCCTCCACTGAACCCTTCCTACAAACTAGGAATCTTATTAGACACAGTATACACTAAAGCTAGGTAAGAGGGTTAATCAAGACCTTCCTAACATGTATCTTCTCTTCCTTCTCCAAGGTACAGCATGGTACCCACCCAGCAACCCATGATATCCTGGC